TCACTTGCAATATTGATGGATGACTTGAGAGAATGCTTGATCAATTCTTGAATGTGCAAGTGATTTGTTTTTACCTTGCTTGATGCTAATAATTCATTTGTGACATCACTTTGGATGTTGTAAGCAAGTTAGGTAAAGGACATTTCCCATAAAGTTGACTATTGCACTGTTTTTGTACTGTAGTGTGTGCAGACATCAACTTTACAGCTGGGGGAGTTGACTTGTACAGTCTCCTCGGGAACTGGTAGCTATCTGTTCCCTTTGTTATTCCTTTGGCTCTGAAGAGTTGAACTGTGTCCCCAACTGGAGACTCGTTGATCTTTAAGTTCTTGAGGATGTGTATCAAGTTCCTTATCTAGTTCTTAACAGTAAGTTTGTTAGATCATCAAAACATAACATAGATATACATATAACCTATCAATTAGTTTCAGTTTAGTTCCAAACGCCACTCTTATTGACAATGTTTGTTTATTCATCTAAAATAATTCTGGTAACCCATTTGTATTGGTGCTTCGTGTACATATTCTATGACTTTTAACCAGCTGAGTCATTTTTCTTCACTATTCTTGAAAGCTCCGAGCATGTTCATCTGCAAAGGCCGAATTAAAGAGGAACCGAAAGAGAAATATCTATATAGAAAAGAAAAATAGAGAAGTATGAATCCTAAAATGGGTAAGATTGGAGTCTAATATATTATTTTATATACAAATAATAAATTATATATGCTAGTGTGATTAAGTAATAACCTTTTTACGATGGGTAAATAACTTTATATAATGCAGTATAAATAGATAAAAATCTTTATTCTAAGGGATTTTTTCATACCTATACAAAATTAGAAATTTAATTACCAAAAATATTCATGTTTACATAATTACCTGACCTACCCATGTTTAGTCTACAAAATATATACATTCCACTTTAAAAGGCTTCCAATCCATTATTTGTGCCTTTAATCAAGGAATTTAGTTACACCCTTTTTCTTTCTTTTTTCTCCTCTTCTCTTTCCTTATTTTTCTTCCGTCTTAAATATGTTTTTCTTCTCACTAGCATGAAGTAAAATTTTGGACACCGCATTTCAAACCTTTCTTCACATTAACCATTTCTGGAAATAAACTGAGTTTCGATATATGAGAATACGGTCTGTAAATAATTATAACTGTATCATCAATATGGTATGCTCAAAAGTGTCCAGAAAAGGAAATAGGGAGCAAGTAACAGGAAAGAGGGAAGAAAACAGATACAAGAAAAAACAACTGGTGGAAAAGAGAAAAGTTGTTGTAGCTGAAATTACTGTCCACTCGGAGAAATTAATTCGTAAAAGGAATTTAGGATTTTGCAGAGATAATGTGAGCTAGACAAGCCTATTTAGATTTGGGCGATTCCAAAATCTAAAGATATCAATTCATCATTTTTTGAAGGAAATGGCTTAGTACATTGTAATTGTAAAGATTGCACGTTACTTCAATAATCTCCTATGCCCTCATAGTTATTTTCAAGCAATTAAAACAGTAATATATTATGTTATAATGCACAATCTAACTGGTTATACCATTCAATCAAAGTCATGCTCGAGAGTCACCCCGTTAAGACAAGTAGAACAGAAATCAACAGAACGCTTTGCTTTTTGTATCTGATTTATACATAGTAAAAATAAATTTCATACAACTAATTATATATTATACAACTTATCTACAACTTTCATACATTATTTCTATCCAGTTATATACAACTACAATATCATACCACGTAAATATAATTTTTATACAAATTTTATACAATATGTCTTTTGTATATTTTGTATCTGATTTATACATAGTAAAAATAAATTTCATACAACTAATTATATGTTATACAACTTATCTACAATTTTCATAAATTATTTCTACTCAGTTATATATAACTACAATATCATACAACTTAAATAAAAAATTTATACAATATTGTTCAACTTTCATACAATATTTAAATAAAAAAAAATATATAAACAACAGAATACAATTTTTCACAACTTTACTACAATTTCTGCAGTATAATGTATGTCATGTCTTTTTCTTCTTCTTCTTCTTCTTCTTCTTCTTCTTCTTCTTCTTCTTCTTCTTCTTCTTCTTCTTCTTCTTCTTCTTCTTCTTCTTCTTCCAATTTAAGCATGAGTAGCTANCTGCAGTATAATGTATGTCATGTCTTTTTCTTCTTCTTCTTCTTCTTCTTCTTCTTCTTCTTCTTCTTCTTCTTCTTCTTCTTCTTCTTCTTCTTCTTCTTCTTCTTCTTCCAATCAAAAATTCAGCCAAAATCAAGTCTAATCTTCACCAAAACACCCTCAAAAAATTGAAATATAAACTCCAAACGATATTCCCAATTGTTTGCAACAACACTCAATCCAAACAAATAATGGTCTTTGAAAACCCAAATTCGAATCCAAAGCTTTAAACCTTTTTAATTTCTGTCAATTGTGGAATTGCTACTCTCTTTTCATTTGTTTTACATTCCTTGAATTAGGGATCGAGAGATAGAGAGAGACGTAGAGAGAATTCCCAATTGTTTGCAACAACACCCAATTGAAACAAATAATATTTTTTGAAAACCCAAAGTCGAATTCAAAACTTCAAAGCTTTTTAATGGCTGTCAATGGTGGAATTGCTGCTATATTTTCCTTTGCTACATTACTGGAATTAGGGATTGAGAGATAGAGAAAGACAAAGAGAGAGAGAGAGAGAGAGAGAGAGAGCATGGGGGGAAAGAGAATAAAGATGAGAAATAATTGATTCTTAATATAAATGGATACTCATTTAATTCCTAAAGTGTATATAATTGATAAATTTGTATATATGAGGTAATTAAATTGAAACTTGAATAGGAAGGGTAATAAAGTTTCCAATAGTGTATAGGAATGTAAAAAGAGAAATTTTCATAAAACACTACATTTTAGTAGTAATTAGTCATCTATAGATATCATTTGCTATATTACAGATTATAGATAACTTTTATGTGGTTATAAGATGTATTTGATGTATTTAAGCTATTGTATTCATGAATACAGTAGCAAAAATAGGCGTGAATCAGGGAAGTCCAGCTAATCAGTTGTTCTATTCGAGTGTATTCGACTGTATTCATGGAGTGAAACATGAGATTACAGCTGGACAGATTATTGTATTCGACTGTATTCACGGCGTATAATAGGGGATTACACTATTTTTAAAACGGAAAGTGAATCAATTAACATAATAGACTCCTAATATAACTCAACAAACTCAATTATAACACACAAATTTTGTATTTTCAGTTATAAAAAATATTCTCAATCGAAAAATACCCCAAAAACATAGCAATATTTAAAGAAATTATATAATACATCTGAATACATAGATTATATTAATTAAAAAAACATGAATACATTCATGACATATAGCGAGATAGTGAATACAATGAAATACATAGAATACAGCGGGATATATTGAAATACAATGAGAAAAAAAGATAGTGAATACAATAAAATACATGGCATACAACGAGATACATTGAATTACAATGGAAAAAAAGACAATGAATACAATGAAATACATGGAAATACAGTGTGATACGTTGAAAATACATTGAAATATATTAACAGAAAATCAAGTTATTGAGCCCCAAAATCAATCGTCTTTGTTAAAAAATAAACCCTAATTTCCGACGAATCCGGCATCGAGCAAAACCCCGAATCTCAAAGTTCCCACGCTGTCGTCGATCGGAGGCTTCATCTCCTTTGGATTTGCCCCCATGGCATTGGAGGGTTCAGTACCCGAAATCCCATAGAGATTGAATTTGAATAACGAAATTGATTTGTTGGGTCTGATTTTGAATGACGAATTGAAAGCTTAAACAAACGAACGAACGAAGACACTTAAACTATTAGGATCGAAAGAAAGAAGACACTTAAAGACTCCAAACACACAAAACAGTGATAAACAAACGAAACAAGTAAACTATTAGGATCGAAACAATACAGATTTTTAAAGAATTCTTTGAAAGAAGACACGGTTGTCACCGCCGGCGTAGCAGAGAAATTTTAATGGGAGGGGAAGAGAATAAGATGTATCAAAGTAAAGAGAGAAAGAAAATAGTGTAACTGATTAGCGTATTTAGTGGCTTAGGACTAGGAAGTAACCAAAATTATATATTTTGCTATAAACCTTAAAAGGTATCTATAGAATATAATTTTTTTAAATGATATTTATTTAAAATAAATAAGGTGTTAACCTTTGCTATAGGAGGTAAAAATTCCATGTAAAAATCCCTTATTCTAAATTTAAAGCCCAATGGAAAGCACGGAGCCCACAACAAAGCCACGTTGGAGGGAGGAGGCCTCGTTGACCACAAAAGAAGTCACATGTTCACGTGTCATTTTCACATGTCAACACGTGCCTCAATAGCCAGCCAAGGATCTGCGCTGTAATTTCCTTGGTGACGTGGCAGCTTGTGACTAGACACCTAGCAGATAATCCTCCTTTTGCACAAATTTGCCAAAATCCCATAAGAATAGAGAAGAAAGCAGAGCGAGTCATAAGGCTATGTTTAAGCCAGTAACTTATTCTGATTTGCATATCAGCAACCATATCACTTTTATAGCTCACGCTTCTCCACGTGGAAATCAATGCTATACCTAAAAAAAAGCACGTGGATAAATAAAAGTGTCAAATAACTTTCAAGAAAATAAACACATGTGCCTATATAGTTCTCTTGTAGATTTTTTTGTTCGTTCCCTTCTCTTAAAACCTTAGAACATCTCCATCTAGCTCAATAGACTCATTTTTCATTTATCACATCCATGGGTTGCCACTTTCTTGATGTTAGTTAATAATGTTAGTAGTTTTCACATAACTATAATTTCCTTTACCTTATACTTTACCGTAATCATCAATCGTGTTTGAGTTTCTTGTTTAGTTTGGAATTGAGACATAATTGATTGACCGTTAACATTCTTGAGTCTGGTACGAAATTTTTGAATGCCGTCTGATCTAATGGGGCCTCTATGTGATGTGTGTGGGGTGGAGAGGGCAGTGGTGTACTGTAAACCAGATGCAGCTAAGCGTTGCTTTCATTGTGATGGAAGTGTACATTCAGCAAATTGTTTATCTCGAAAGCACGTTCGTTCTCTCATTTGTGACAATTGCAGTTCAGAGCCTGCAATTGTACGTTGCATGATTATGGAAATGTGTTTATGTGAACGCTGTGATTCAAATACGATTGGTTGCAATATGGTATCAGGGCATCAACACCAGAAGTTGGATTATTATAGTGGATGTCCATCTCCAGCTGAGTTTATGACAAAGATTTTGTCAACAACTTTTGATGAAATGTCTAATAATAATAATAATGTACATAATCTTAGTAGATTCGATACTGCTAGCTCATTGAGTGTCAATGAGAATAATTGCTCAATGGTGGCTAGCAAACTCAATGAATTAGCTTCTTGTATGAAGTTTGAACCATGGGCAATTCCTTCTCCTGTAATTCCTTCAAATTCCACATACTTGACAACCTACAACATAGATCAAGCAGCACTCGCAGATGGATCTAGCCTCCCCAAGGTTGGTATGTTTTTTTTATTTTTTATATTGTGTATTTATATCATTAGTAGTTCTAGGGTTTAACTTTTACATATATATATATATATATATATATATATATATATTCTGATAGTAAAAAGAATTTTCACACTATCAGTGTTACTTGTTGTAGCAAGTACTTGCATTATTTTTCAGGTTTCTAATTCAACTTAATATGGACGGTTACCTATAATTATCTTTTAAGTGACCTGATAGTATAAAATTCTTTTTACATTATCAGTTTATAAAAGTTAAACTCTATGCTATAAAGACATGCCTAATTGCTGAATGCATTAACTGATAGTATCAAGAATTTTCACACTATTAGTGTTACCCGCTGCGAAGAGGCGGTTTGGAGCAACATTAAAATTACTTTTATGTAACCTGTAAATCACAGGTTCGAATCGTGAAATTAGGGTAGACTACCTACATCACACCCTCTAGGGGTACAACCTTTCCCCAGATCCTGCGTGAACACCGTATGCTTTGTGCACCAGGCTGCCCTAATTGCGAAATGCGTTGACAAGTAATAATCAGTATACACTAATTGTGCTTTATTTATTTGCTGCAGCAAAGTTGTACTACTATTAAAGATCATGAAATTTATGGAGCTAATGATCTTGCGGGAGATGTTGATTTGGACGAATTGAATTCCAATTCTAGTTACAATATTTTCAGCAGTTTACAACAAAGTCATTCAAGATATTATAGTGAAGACAGGGGATTGGGTTGCCTAGTGATGGAGAAAAATTTATCTGTCATTGGGCCTAATAGTCATGTTGAAACTGCAGTAGAGGTACTTCTCAAACCTATGTCTGTGCTATAACTTCTTTAAAAGAGCTTTGAGAAAATTTACCAAATGAATTAGACAGTAGATGTTTTAGTTTCTTGTTCTTGAATATGATACAAGAAGGGGAGTCTTGGAGCAGTAATAAAGTTGTCTCGATGAGACCTATAGGTCACATGATTGAGCCGTGGAATCAGCCATTAATGCTTGCATCAGGGTAGACTGCCTACGTCACACCCCTTGGGATATTGACCCTTCCCTGGACCCTGTATAAACGCGGAACACTTCATGCACCGGACTGCCCTTTGTTCTTGAATATGATACAAATGCATATTTTAGATTGTTTTATAAAATGTTACTAACAAATGTGCTTAATCTTTAACTGTAATTTCTTTGTGTATCTTGTTAGGCACCATCTTCAGTGAGTGGAACTGCTAATGGCATGTTTATGAATCCAAGTTGTAATGGAAATACTGGCTTAGCTTTTACACATGGACCAGCTCATTCAAGGTCATTGTCAGTCTCCAACATCACCAAAGAAAGTAGTGACGCAACTGAGTACCAAGATTGTGGGTTTTCGCCACTCTTTCCGCCTTGTGATTGGAATTCAGAAACTAGCTGTCTACGGGCAAGGAATGAAGCCAAGATGAGATACAATGAGAAAAAGAAAACTAGAACGTAAGTAGATTCATTCTGGTTTGTGTTTTTGAATCTATTCCATATACCAAAATACTAATGAACGGGAGTCTTGGCGTAACTGGTAAAGTTATTGTCGTATGACCAGGAGGTCAAAGGTTTGAGCCGTAGAAATAGCCTCTTATAGAAATGCAGGGTAAGGCTGCATACAATAGACCCTTGCGGTCCGGTCGAATTCCACACATAGCAGAAGCTTAATGCATCGGACCGCCCTTTATAACAAAATACTAATGTTTTGCTTAATTGAGATTTTCCATTATGTTGTGCAAATCGTGATTTTTTGCCTTTAATTGACATTTCATTATTAATATATATCCTTTACAACATGCACGTTCAGAAAGCAAATAAGATATGCTTCACGCAAGGTCAGGGCAAATACGAGAAGACGAGTTAAAGGCAAATTTGTTAAGGCTGGGGAGGCTTATGATTATGATCCATTAGTAACAAGGGATATGTGAGTTAAGGTAGCTAATTTTGGGCCATCCCATTTTGTCAAAACTTGAACTAGTGTTAAGGTATTTTTAATGTAAAGATACTCAAACCATTAAATTCTTTTGAGACAAGTCTAAAAGAGTTTATGCTAGTACCGGAGCTAGAAAATTTGTCATTGGTTGTGTCTGTCAATCCGACTTAGTTATGATGACAAACCGACTTAGTTATGACAACAAACTTGAATGAGATGTATATATCCTGTGTGCAGGGCGTTGAAAATATAAGTAAGTAAATAAAAGTATTTCTTTTCTAATATCTGAAGTTTTTCGATGAACTAGTGATCATGACACAATTTAACATAGTATTAAAATAGATGATCTGATGATGTCATGCATTCAAGGGAATGATTCAAAGAAAAGATGGTCATTGGAATCTAGAATGTGAAAATCCACGAGAGAAAATATTATTATTGATTATTTAAAGTATTGTACAACACCCTATTTATATACTATGATTACATAATAATAGGTATCTACTTCCCGATGTAGGACACTATACATGACTAACTACTTAACACTCTCGCTCAAGCCGGTGCATATAAATCATATGTACTGAGCTTGTTACAAATGTAACTAATATGAGAACCAGTAAGAGAGTGAAAATATCAGCTAGCTGATCATTCGACTTTACAAACATTGTAACATTATCTCCTGAGACTATCTTTTCTCTTACAAAGTGATAATCGATCTCAATGTGTTTAGTCCTCTTATGGAACACCAGATTTGACGCAATATAAAGAGCAACTTGATTATCACATACTAGTTCCATATTGCTGATTTCTCCGAACTTCAATTCCTTGAGCAACTGCTTGACCCAAACTAGCTCACACATTACCATAGTCATGGCCCAATATTCTGCTTCGGCGCTAGATCTAGCAACTACATTCTGTTTCTTGCTCTTCCAAGAGACCAAATTATCTCCTACTAGAACACAATATCCAGACATAAAACGTCTACCAGAAGGTGATCCTGCCCAATTAGCATCTGTGTACCCAAAAATCTGCTCGTGACCTCGATCCTCGAATAGTAATCCTTTTCCTAGAGCTGACTTTATATATCGAAGAATGCAAACAACTACATCCCAGTGACTATCACAGGGAGAATCCATAAACTGACTTACAACACTCACCGAAAAAGAAATGTCAGGTCTAGTCACTATGAGGTAATTAAATTTGCCAACCAAACTCCTATATCTCGTAGGATCTCTAAGAGGCCCCCCTGTCCTGGCAGAATCTTAGCATTCAGATCCATAGGAGTGTCAACAGGTCTGCAGCCCATCATTTCAGTCTTCTCAAGAATGTCTAAGGCATACTTCCGCTGTGAAATAACAATAGATGAGCTAGACTAAGCGACCTTAATACCTAGAAGATACTTCAATCTGCCCAGATCCTTAGTCTGGAAGTGCTGAAAGAGATGTTGCTTCAGATTAGTAATATCATCTTGATCATTGCCAGTAACAACAATATTATCAACATAAACCGCCAGATAAATACACAGATTAGAAGCAGAATGCCGATAAAATACAGAGTGATCAGCTTCACTATGAGTCATGCCGAACTCCTAAATAACTATGCTAAACTTACCAAACCAAGCTCTAGGGGAGTGTTTCGAACCATATAGTGACCTGCGCAATTGGCATACAAGACCACTAGACTCCCCCTGAGCAACAAAACCAGGTGGTTGCTCCATATAAACTTCTTCCGCAAGATCAACGTAGAGAAAAACATTCTTAGTGTCTAACTGATAAAGAGGCCAATGACGTACAACATTCATGGACAAAAAGAGACGAACAAATGCTACTTTAGTCACGGGAGAGAAAGTATCACTATAATCAAGCCCAAAAATCTGAGTGTATCATTTTGTAATAAGACGAGCCTTAAGCCGATCAACCTGGCAATCCGGGCCGACTTTGACTACATAAACCCAACGACAACCAACAGTAGACTTACCTGAAGGAAGAGGAACACGATCTAAAGTGCCACTTGCATGTAAAGCACACATCTCCTCAATCATAGCCATTCGCCATCCTGGATGAGATAGTGCCTCACCTGTAGACTTAAGGATAGAAACAATGGAAAAAGATGATATAAAAGCATAATTAGGTGATGACAGATGATGATAACTTAAACCGACATAATGGGGATTAGGATTAAGTGTGGATCGTATACCTTTGCAGAGTGAAATTGGTTGACTAAGAGGAGACAAGTCTGATAGGTGCAGAAACTTATGTAGGACGTGAATCACCTGGGCCTAATGCTGGACGTGGATGACGATGATAACTCAAGAGTGGTGGAGCTGCAGAAGGTTGAACTGGACTAGGTGGTGGAACTGGAGCTATAGGTGGCGGAGCTGCAACTGGAGCTGGAGTTGTAGAGGAAGATGAATCAGAGATAATGACTGAATTCCTAAAAGATGAAACTGGTAGCACCTCAGAAATATTTAAATGATTACCTGGACCTGTGAAGTATGATTGGATTTCGAAGAAGGTAACATCAGTGGAGATAAGGTACTGCTGGAGATCATAAGAATAAATCGATACCCTTTTTGCATTATCGAGTAACCCAGAAATACGCACTTAAGAGCATGGTGAGCTAACTTATCTTTTCTCAGAGTAAGATTATGAACAAAACAAATGCTTCCATAGACACAGGGTGGAAGAGAGAATAAAGCTAAGTGGAAAAACATGACAGAGAATGGAACTTGATTCTGGATAGCCAAAGACGACATGCAATTGATAAGATAACAAGATGTAAGAACTGCATCCCCCCAAAGACGCAACAGTACATGAGATTGTATGAGTAAGCTTCGAGCAGTTTCACTAAGATGTCTATTCTTTCTTTCAGCTTTCCCATTTTGTTGAGATGTGTACGGACCAAATGTTTGATGAATAATCATATAAGAGTTCATAAACTGCTAAAATAGGAAAGACAAATACTCTTAGGCATTATCACTAAGAAATATGCGGATAAAAACCCCAAATTGATTTTGAATTTTAGCGTCGAAGGTTTGGAAAATAGAAAACGACTCATATCGATATTTTATTAGAAATATCCAAGTGCACCTGGAATAATTATCAATAGAACTGACTAAGCAGCAGAATCCCAAGGTAGAATTGACCCGACTAGGACCCCAAACATTTGAATGGACTAAAGTAAAAGGTGACTTTGCTCGATTGTCAAGACGTTGAGGGAAATGTGAATGGGTATGCTTACTGAGCTGATATGACTCACACTTTAGAGTGGGCATGTGAGATAAACCAAGTACAATTTTTTAAAGTTTTGACAAACTGGGTTGTCCCAACCGTTTATGTAATAAATCTGGTGAATTAGTAATAGGACAAGTCGTTGAAGGAAGAAAAGATGCGAGTCCATGTGATTTTGCAAGGATAAGGTAATAAAGTCCATCTGATTCACGCCCAATACCAATGATCCGTCCTGTTGGTACCATCCTGTACAGTGTTCCTATATAAAAACAAGGTCATCAAGAAATAAAACAGAATATTTAAGTGATTTGGCTAAGCGACTAACGACTATGAGATTAAAAGGACTACCGCGAACATAAAGAACTGGATCTAAAGGTAAGGAAGGAAATGAACTTGCTTGACCTATTCTAGTTGCCATGGTTTGAGACCCGTTGGCCATTGTGACTGTTGGGAGAGATTGATAACATGAAATAGTAATGAAAAGAGATTTGTTACCAGAATATGATCAGATGCACCTGAATGAATGACCCAAGACTCAACGGTTGAAGATTGGGAGACACAAGTCACGCTACTATCTATTTGAACAACGGAAGCTATCCCTGAAGATGTCTATTTACATGCTTTGTACTGAAGGAACTAAATATAATCTGGTAAAGAAACCAACTGGATTGGATTCAATGCATTCGATCCAACAGATTGTGAGTTAAAGGCTTTTGATACAAATGCCATTATAACATTATGCCGAAAAAAGCAAAAAATTTCTAGGAATTACTGTTCTCGCAGAAAACTCACCGTTCACGGTAAAAAATATTACTGTAATCGCCGGAGAAATCTCAAAGTGCTCGGAATAAAAAGAAAACAGTATGGGCCTGGTCAGAATTACTAGAAGATAAGGTTGTCGTGAAGAAACTTTTCCAAAAAATGGCCGGTATATTGTTCACGCGCCGGCGCGTGGGTCTGATGCGCCGCCGACATCAGAAGCTTTGGAGGCACATGAGAGCGCGTGAACGGGTTCTACCGGTGTGGTTTTCTGGGGTTTGGTTGTCTGAGAAATCTGCACCTACTGGTGGTGTTAGTTTTCGTAAAAACCCACCAGAGAAGGGATTTCGTAAAAAAAAGCCTGAAAGTCACCGGAAAAAGGCACGGTGACTGTCTCGGACTCGCTGGTAACTACACAGTGGAGATTTCTCACTAGTTGCTTTGATACCATGTGAGAAAGCACGTGAGAAAATATTATTATTGATTATCTAAAGTTTTGTACAATGCCCTATTTATATACAATGATTACATAATAATAGGTATCTACTTCCCGATGTGGGATACTATACATGACTAACTACTTAACATAGAAGAATGAAGATCAAGAGGAAAATGATACTAATGGAACTATCGAATCAGAATAATAGCTTATTTGGCCAAGCTTCTAAATTTTGCTTATTTTGAAAAGCGCTTTTCTCAAAACTGCTTTTTAAAAAAGTACTTTTAGTGAGAAGTAGTTTGACTAATTAATTTGAAAAGCAATTTTGAGCAACAATTAGTATTTGACCAAGCTTTAAAAAAGTATTTTTAAGTAGATTTTTGGCAAAATACCTTACCACCCTCTTAAACTTGTCATGAATTATTAGTTACAACCTTAAACTATTCGTGGTCTTAATTAACCCCCTCAACTTCTCCTTTTGAGAGCCATTACTCTCCTGGACGCTGATGTGGCAAATTGTATAGGAGCACTCGCCTGCCACGTGGAATTTTCTGCATATGTGACATT